ACATTGTTGCATCTCTGCCATACTAAGCCAAATATTTGATCTCATGAATGGATGGTGCTGAATCACTTTAAAGGTTAGGAGGGGGTTCCCCTTGCATGCACGGTATAGTTTGGGAATTTATGTTTCAGAACAGATTGTGTGGGACATCAACGTATCACCAGCTAACAAAGTATTGATCTGAATAGCACATCTGTTTGAACTTACATGGTCCCGTTTTAGAGGATGAAGAGGGATTCAGCTACCTGATTCCCATTAATCGTGGCTTAATCTTCACATTGTGTGCTGCAAATTAACCCTTTTAGAAGCTTCTTTATTGGTGCATGTGGGATTAAAGAAAATACTAGTCTACATCAAAATCTATTAAAACCTGTTATGTTTGTGGCTGCTGGTATGCAGTGTCTTTCCAAAGCTGAAGTGTCCAAGCTATAGTGCTCAATATAAAAATATGTTTTGTGTCAAGTGTCGATATAAGCACAGTGATACAGGCACAGTGTATTTGTGCTTTAGGCCACGAATCCCTGCCCCGCCGATGTCAAGCAGAGCAAGGTCAGCCTCTAAGAGCGTTGACTGCAATTCAGGGTGTACACGCAGAGAGCGTTACCGCAGCGGCAATCTCACAGTGTCGGGGCTAAATCTTCGTGTTTACGTTAAGAGTGCGCAAGTTGAGCACTTCAAACCAGGGGGAAGGTGGGAATTTCTGCCTTGCAGCTGCTGGAGCTGGTGCCTACAGCCAGGGCTGTTTTCCCCAGGAGCAGGGTGGGAGGCTGCCCTGCACACCGGGCTCTTCGGGTGGTCCATCTGATCTGGCCGCGCTGGCAGCTGCCAGGCCTGTGGGCAGCCCTGTGGGGAGGAGAGCAGAGCAACATGCCCAGCTACTGCAGAGCCTGGGAGGATGTCTTCCTCTGCTGTTGGGCACGTGTGCTGGAGGAGGTTTCCTGTAGACCCAGCACACCAAAAGCTGAGAAGGGTTTTGGTCTATAGAATCATCTGGTTGGAAGAGACCCTCACGATCATTGAGTCCAACCATTCACCCTGCACTGCCAGGGTCCCTAAACCATGTTGCTCAACACCAAATCCACACGGTTTTTAAACACCTCCCCCCGGGGAGGGGCACCCCCCCCCCCCCCTGGCCAGCCTGTTCCAATACTTCACAACCCTCTCTGTAAAGAAATTCTTTCTGATATCTAACCTAAATTTCCCCTGGCGTAACTAGAGGCCATTCCCTCTCATCCTGTCATTCACAACGTGGGAGAAGAGACCGACTCCCCTCTCCCTGCAACTTCCTTTCAGGTAATTGTAGAGACTCATAAGGTCTCCCCTGAGCCTCCTCTTCTCCATACTAAACAGTCGCAGCTCCCTCAGGCACTCCTCATAGGACAAATTCTCTAAACCCTTCACTAGTTTTGTTGCTCTTCTCTGAACCCGCTCCAGCACCTCAATGTCCTTCTTGAAGTGAGGGGCCTAAAACTGGACCCAGTACTCAAGGTGTGGCCTCACCAGTGCTGAGTATAGGGGAACAATCACTTCCCTGCTCCTGCTGGCCACACTGTTTCTGATACATGCCAGGATTCCGTTGGCCTTCTTGGCTGCTTGGGCACACTGCTGGCTCATATTCAGTCGGCTGTTGACCAGCACCCCCAGGTCCTTCTCTGCTGTGCAGCTTTCCAGCCGCACTTCCCCAAGCCTGTAACATAAGGGTTGTGAGTCTATCTTAAGATTGAGGCACGCATCCTTTATTGTGCAAAGTTTTGCACGTTGAGGTGCATAATTTTATGTTTAGGTGAATTAATTGCCATCCTCTAGTCTAACTAACTGTGGGAAGTCTGCTTTCAGAAATGCCCATAGGTCAGCATGTCGTGTTGAATACAGAACTTGAGTGGTCACTCTGCTGCCTCCAGTAGAGCTGTCTCTGTTCACACACACCCCATGAGTTTGTCACAACTCATTAAGTTTGTTTAGATGTTCCCACGGAACCTGCATTCTGTTTGTGTGGCAATTAGCTATAACGTTGGTGTCCCAGAGATGGGGAGTTGTGCTGGTGTGTCGACACTGGCTCATGCAAGGCAAGCCAGGATGTCTTTGCTAAGAGGAAAATGTTCTTGCAGCAGGCTGCAAGTGAAAGCTCTCGGTTAGGAGCAGGGCTGCACTTGGATGACATGTTAGGACTGCAGATAGCCTTGCCCTGAAGAAGACGGGAATGTAATGAGGAAAAGGTATGGAAAGTGTTCCATGTTCAGTTCTATAACTAAGGCAAATTTGGTTTTTCGGATTGTTTTCCATGGCTGTTCAGGCTTAATAGGTGTACCTTAAACCTCCTTCTTACAGTTATTTCTGTTTGTTGCAAAGACACCTAACTAGGACGGTTTCTGTTCAGCAGTTTTTTCCCTTTCTACCAGTTGCTTTTTTTAAAAAAAAAAAAAGCTGCTAGGAGCCATATAACCTCTTTCTTTTCTCATCAGCTTTCATTGCCTCCAGTGTCTTTAGTGCTCCACTGGTGAACTTAAATGATTTCCTTACCCTCTTTTTTTTTTTTTTTCTAGTCTTCTTTGTTTAAACAAATTTGTAAACGGCAGGGGAAAAGTAGCATAATATTGGGATTGCTAACTTTGAGGGAGGTTTGAAGGACGCTAATAGCAGTTTATTATGACTCTGGCTGTGAATGATGTTGCCAGGTAAACAAGTAACTCTTAAGCAACAAGGGGACATCCTCATGGAGCAAAGAGCCTCTGAACAAGTTTTTATCGGTGAGCTTTACTTGAGGGATAGCCTAGTTTTTCCAGTCTAAAGAAATAGATGCAAGTGCATGTGAGATGGAGCAGAAAGCCACAGGGTTTGGCATATGCTATACCTGTGTCCTCTGATCTCCGTGTCTGTTCACTGCTGGACACATAAGTGTTTGGATGCTGCTTGGATATCCTTACACAGATAGAGCAATATGCTGACATCTTTTATGTGACTGTTAAACGCTTTGTAGCTTAACTTTGAAATGATGTCGATCATCATTAGAGATTTAACTGTTTGTACCCCTAAAACAAGGAGGTGGTGGTCAGATCTGAACCCATCATGCCTGTTAGGCTTTCTGAATATATAGTGATCTTCCTTTGTGTTTTGCTATGTGATCAGATATGGAAATGAGAGATCCATGCTTAGCATATGGATCTGTCAGTTTTCACAGGTTAACAATCAAATGAACATGGAGCTTCAATGGTTGCAACATCATTGAGGTCTGGATTACCACTTACATTAGTGGTGAAATTGGCCCAAAATTCTTAGCGGATCACATAGTTGATGCATTGGTCTTGGTACACGACACAGCAGGGCAGTATATAGTATGACACAAGAGCGGGACATCACTGCCTATGTAGCAATGATGATTTATAGTGGGAAGCGCACCTTCATTTCACAAAATGTGATTTTCTTGTCTCAAAATGTCAAGGGGCAGGTTTTAAATCAGCAAGTCTTAAGTGCCTTACTACCTCTTAAAATATGTGCCTGCACCTCTCTGCTTTCTACTTTGTCTATAGATGAGCAAGAATGTATCTTCTTTGGGAAGTTTCGTCCGCACCTCCCCCTCTATTGTCTGGATTTTAGGTATACGCCCTGTTGGGTGTAAATCTAGCAAAGATTGAATCCCTCTGGAGCAGAGAAATCCCAGATTATAACACAGGTTCCAAGTTTATAATGCTAAAGCCTCAACATAGCACCACATTTATTAGATAGTCCTCGCTCTTTATAAAGGAAAATGTTAGAGTAACTCATAACAAATGCAAGCTGAAAATCATTAATTTTTCCCATGTGGAAGCACTAGCCATTCTTGGCTAAAAATCTGACACTCCGTAGGTGAAATTATTTGGGTTTTTTACATGCTGCAGTAACGTTTCCCTTCTCTCCTCTGTAAGGTGAAATACCAGAGAAACTGTGAGATCCTAAAGTGTCACAGGCCTTTTCTGAAACAGGTAGGGTTTGTGGCTGGCCTCTATCAGGGAAAATTATTCTGTTGCATACTGAGTTATCTATGCAGACCTTGCTGAAGGATTTTAACACGCCGTGCCATACTCCAAATGAGGCCAAAACAAGGAAGCGCACACAGGATTTTATCAGCATTCCTCAACTGCTTCAGCTAGTCTAATACTTAAGTGTGGTTTAAGCTTATCCCACATAAACTATAAAACTGGAAGCAATAGCAATGTTACTAACAAGGCCACTAGACTGGTAAGTTGTGGATTTTTTTTTCTGCTTTTTTTTTTTTTTTTTTTTTTAGATCAAAACCTGTTTATCCTTACTTTGGTTGCTTGGGGAGGGGGAGGAAAAAGCTGTATCAAATTTTAATATTTTTTTTTTTCTGAAATGTAGGTCTGCAGCATCAGGACAAGAGCAAGGAAACTTCTTGGTTCTGAAGTTCAGATAAATTAACATCAGCTAGAGCTGGAGTCAGTGCAGCTGGGCGGGCGATATAACAGTCGTTGACTCCTTCTGCATGGGGCAAAGGACACACGTGAAGATGAAGAGCCAAATGTTCTGGTTTTGCTATTGAGCCTTTTGTTTGTAAGGCCGTTCATGGGTCCCACCGTGTTTGAAAAAAAACAAAACCCTAACTTTTCTTTTCTTTTCTCATCTGAGCCTGCTGCAGCTGGGCAACCTAACTCCTTTCTGCTCTTTTAACAGTGTTTTGTTTTGTTCAGCTTGATATTTTTATGAACAGTATCAATTGTCAGGAAAAAGACTCTCCCTTGACTACAGTGCGCCTCCTTTCAGGAATACAGTATTTTGTAGCTCTTTGTGCATCTATTTTTGTAGAAATACAGAAAGTTTGGGTAAGGATTGATGGGCTATTTTAGGATGACATATTTTTTTAAAAAAAATTGTAAAATTGTTAAGTTCTGTTTAAAGAACTTGCTCTCAGAGAAGCACTGGCAAAAAATGTATAAAATGCTATTTTTAGATGTCTGTGATGTGTTTGTGCATTTTGGTTTTTTTGTTTGTTACCTCAAATGTCTATCTTACCTTTCTTTTTAAAGATCTAAACTTTCCTTGTTTCCACATTACTAGATTTTGATGTTTTTGTCTTTTTGTTCTAGCTTAAGTACCATTCGCACCTAAAGTTTCAGCCAAATATTTTTCCTGCTGGTGTTAGATTGTAGTAAGGGTGTTTTTATTTTCTTGCTTCTAAAGGTGGCTTTGTGCTATGCCTAGTTGTCAGAAGCTTGTAAACACCTTTAGCGTGGAGCAAAGCCTGGGGTTACAGGAACTACATTTCCAAACCATCCATTTTTTCAAAAGGGACCAAATACTCTTATGGATTTAAATCAGACATGAGTTTGGGCCTCATCCATGATCCATTGAAGCTGTTGAACACATTTTCCTATGGGTGTTGTTTCAGGCCCTCCCAGTGCTCATAAACATCAGTATATTCTTATTTTGACTCACGAGGCAGGACTTTCAGCTAAGCCATTTCAACAGTGGTAACTTATAACATTGATTTTTCAGGAAAGAAATGTCAGTTTTATAAAAACGTGACTTGTGGAAACAAAGTGTTTTCAACTGGCCTGGTCTGTCTGCTGAGCACCTCAAGGCAAGCGCTGAAATTTTCAACTCCTGTTGGCTTCAAAATCTGTTTGTCTAACCTAAGGTTTGCTGTGGGCCTTACGAGACCCCAGCTGCAGGTCTTGAATGTCGTAAGAAGTTGCACGTGCTCAGCGCGCACAAATTCAGGCTTGGCTGCTGTCTGGGTAAGGCTGTGAACTCGGAAACGACCTGGCCACATCTCGCCACAGCTCTCTCCAAGGTGTTTGGGAAACCCCATTTCTGGCCTGGGTCTTGGGTCTGACTTGCATAATAAGGACGTTAGTTGAAGCCAAGGTAAGCATGATTCAATCCTGAATAAGGGCTGCAAGACGCCCCTTGACAGCCCCAGTGCTGGGATGGGCTGGAGCTGGGTCAGCCCCATGCCCAACCCTAGAGACTGCAGTGCCAGTGTCAGCATGTGCTTAGGTGGGGCTGAGCACAGGATCGGGACCTGGGTCACAAGGTCCTAGCTAATGCTTGGAGATGTTGCCTTTCTGCTCTGTGCACCCAGGGTCGCTCTGTAATATTTCCCAAGGTTCTTATAATCTATTACATTTCTGTTACCACTGTTTTCAGACATTGCTGTCTGAAAGACAAACCAGCTAAATGGAAACCAAGGCATAAACACATGGCTGAGATAAGAAATGGTTTAATTTTAAAGCAATGAGCATTGTAAATGTAGGTTTGTCAGGTGGAGACCACATGGATCTGCGTGTGAAAGGGGAGGGGGAGTGTTGGGACGTGCATGCCACTGCGAGGTTCAAGCCTCTCTCCCTGCACTGCTACTTCTCTCCAGGCTTTTTGAACTTGATCCTATGAGGTGTAGAGCGTTCTCCCTTACCGTGTGAGAGGGCTTGACATACTGGCGCTGGAGGCATTAGGACTATGTCACAATTTGGCAAGGCCCCAAAGCGTATACCTTGCTGATCTGAAGTTTGAGACAGCATAAGAGTGCTAAATGGGCTATGCTTAAATATTACTTTCATATAGTAGGGTTGTAGTTTCTGCGTTGGAATGCTGAATTAAATGTGGTAGGTTTTTTTTCTCTCACCTTTATAGTCCATCATCATTTCTTTCTCTTAATAAATTTCATTCTCATGACAGTTCTATATATTATTGCTGCTCTGTTGGAGCTAGCTCCTCTATTTGTCGATGAATTCGTAATGCAATGGGAAAACTGTATGGGAAGGAACATAGTAATAGCTGTCACAATTCACTTTCTTTTCAGGATAGTATAGTTCAGGAAATATCTCAAAAATAAGAGTTCTGATTTAGGAATTTTGACACTATTAGAAATACTATGAGAAAAAAAAATCCACCTTTTTATTTTTTTAAAAAAAATTTTCTGGACTTGGCAAAGCTGCTAGGCAAAGAGGCGATGTATCCTCTTTGAACTTCAGGGCTGGAGAGTTTGAGTGGCAGAAGGAGCAAAAGAAAAGGTAACATTTCTTTTTGAGGTGCAGTGTGTTTGACTTCCTGAAACAGTTGGAAGTCCAGCAAGAGCAGTCAGTTCGTTACCTTCCTCTTTGCAAGTTCAGATGATAAGGGACCTCCTCCTGTTCCCTATAGATGTCAAAGCAGAAAGGGACAGGAAAAAACAGGCCCATAGTTTGCACTGGAATCCCTTCTGGGTTGTTTTATTGAGTTGATGGGTAGTGGGGATGAATATGTGGTGAAGCTATTGCCTCTTCCACCTCAAGGACTACTGTTATGTGCTTTTTTTTTGAACCTGTGAGGGTGCTGAAGGAACTTGTGTTGCTCTGCAGCCTTTGGGAGAAAAGTTCCAACAGAAATCTGCTATCGTCTGTAGCCATTCATGCCCCAGTCAATCAACTTGGGAAGTCAAATGAATTCACTTTTTCCCCTCGGTCACTAACCGTCCACTCTACTAAGAAACGAGTTGAAAGTAGAAGCACAGGTGTGTAGCAGTAGCCCTGCTTTCATGTTTTACAGTTTGAAGGATAGGAAACAAAAAATCCTTCCCTGTGACAAACTTTTAAGTTAAATTCAGCAGATTTACTTCTCTCTCTCTCTCTCTCTCTGTCTCATATTCACATATTCATGCACACTTATACACACGCACAAACGTGCTTATGAGAAGCAGATGCTGTGATGGTTTTGTTCTTGAAAAAGCAGGGGAGCGCTTGCTCGCAACGTTGCAGTTATGGAGAATTGATGGCAGTGAAAAAGGAACAGGAATGTTAAGACTGCTCATGTTTCCACAGAAAGGAAAAAAAGGCCCTTAAAATCAGGTCACAGACAAGTTATGTGTCTTAACTCATTAGTAAAGGAATTGTTTCATTCTTTTTGTGTGTGGTGAGTTCTGATGCTGTCCCAAGAAAGCGGATGATTCATTTCGTGAGGACTTATAAAACATGATGTACTTTGTCGCTATTTCTGGGAGAACATAGGGAAATTATTGTTTTATTTCAAGAAAATCTACTTACTAAACTCCTTAAAGTTGCCCAGGATTTAATTTTATTCCTGTTAATGTTGAGAAACCTGCTGTCAATTTTTGTGTCTTCATTTGAAAACTGGGAGGGATCAAGCTGTCCACCAGTTTTTGAAAAGCAGATACCAGCTGAGCATTTCCATCCCAAGAAGATCATGGAATAGTGCAGCTACTGACCGCCCAGCAGATTTGATTTCTGGAGAGCTCAATAAGCTATGCTTGGCAGTAGTAAAATAAACTTTGTTCAGATTCCTCTCCTCACCAGACACACAATTTCAGTTATCAGTTTATCTAATACTTCTTTCATAGTGTGAAGATCTTCAGTGAATGAAAGTTTTCTCTCAATCATCTACTTCTGCATCAAAACGTGCTTTCGAGGATGAATCTCTCATCACAGCTTTTAGAGAGAGCAAAGGTTGCAGGAGGCGACTGTCAAGTTTGCCCCCACCTGCACTTAGGATCAACTTGCCTGTACCCAGCCTTTCTGCTTCCAAGCTACTGTGTATGTCTTGCTCTCTTCTCACAATTCTTTATGTGTATCTATATATTTATATACATATATATACACACACATATGTGTAGCTGTACCTGGTTCCCTCTATTCCACCCTCATGCTTCAAACGCACATTCTGTGGAAATGAGGTGAATGACGTCACTGAATATCATCTGAGACTGAGAAAATGTAGGCATTTTATTGCGTTTTCTGGAACCTCAGGAGTGAATGGAATTTTTCTGTTCTTGTAAAACACAAAATCGAAAAACAATAGAAGCCCAACAAAAAAAAACCACCCAAACCTTTAAAACCCCCTGATTTGTTGTATCGAGATGACCATGGAGTCAACAGAGTTATGTAGAGAGGTGCAATATATTGCCTTTCAGCGGACAAGCGTATCTTTTTGAATATGTTTATTTTAATTAATATCAGGAACAAGCTTTTTCTCCATATCAATGGACCAGCAACATATATTTCTTATAAACAATTTAGAAATATATATATTTTTTAAATTGACTTCTTGGCTTTAATACGTCAGCCTTTGAGCTTTTAAAGGGTATTTGGATGGTAAATATTGTTTGTGTGTGGATTTTTAAAAAAAGTTGATACATGTTGTTTGGAACTGAAATCTCATGTAAAGTAGGAAGGTATTTAAAAATAAATACTGCTTTTACATATTAGCCCTATGGGCACAATCTGACAGTTGTGATGCAGGAAGATGTCCCTTTAAAGACTAAGGGTCTCTTGCCTGATTAAGGTCAAAATCCAGTCCCTGTGACAGAAGAGGCAGGAGCAGTCTTCCTGAAAAGGTTGAGCTGGTAGAACTGTGAGCAGAGATGACCCTCTCCAGCACTGTACGTAGATGGTTGGGCAGCCACTGCTCAATGTACTAAAATTAGGCTGTGTTGGCAGTTTTATACTTGCTCTGTCTTATAGGATGAACTGGTTGCCAAGGGGAATTAGAGCTGTCCCTGGAAACCTGTGTTTTAGCTGCCCTTGGTCTACATAGCACCTATGACCCTGTCCCTGGTTTTGCTCTGTGGTCTCTGTGACGCCATGCTGGGACCTGTAAAAGTTGGGCTGGAGTTCCCTGCAAAATGCAGGATGTTTTTAGCTCTCAATAAAGGTAGTTTAGGGATGGGGGTAACTGAAACATCACAGTTGTCTCATGCATCTGCTCAAAGGCTCAAACCTTCATAATGGATCAGTTGTGCATTGTTCATGATGGCTGTTTGCGTACAGGAGCCCGAATACTGCTTTCCTTCCCCTTGGTGTCTTTGGAAATCTTCGGTGGCATTGGCATTGTTGGGACCAGCCTCAAATGCTTAAGTTGCAGTCCAGTGTCAACTGGCACAGCATGGTGGCCTGGGGTCTGGTCCAACATTGGTGAACATCAACTGGAATCAGTGTTGGTTCTGGTGAGCTTGGGCTCAGGTAA